AAGTAATCTGAATATCAGCCGGCTTGTCAGAACAGGCGGTAGGCTGAAAATGTCCAAAATGTCATAGCAGGTTCAGGGGTCCAAGTGTTCTCTTAAAAAGTTCTCAAGTGTGAACAAATGTGAATTCAACATGCCCTTATATAGGCAATAGAAGAATTTGAAGGGACACTCTTCAAATTTGAAAAATGAGCGGGAAAAACTCCCGGCCTTTCACCAAATGACACCTGTAGCAGGCCGTCGCCTGTTACAGGCCGACACCTGTCACAGGTGACATGTGACCAGTCACGTGCCACCTGTGAGGGGCAAATGATTAAGGGATTTTGCTCCCACCAATCGGAATGCGCCACGTGGGCCAATCAGGTCCTGCCAAGTGTCCTCCAGTTGGACCTGTCAGGGTTCGCCACGTGGCACGCGCCTATTTGTCCACCCTGGACCTTTTATGTCACGACGCGTGGCATCCTCCATGCCTAATGGAAAAACCAGCCACCTAGGCCCAACTTTCAAGGAAAGCCCAATCAGCCCTAGGTTAACCAAAAACCTAGGATTGACACGCTTCCCAAGGTTATAAATACCCTCATTAATCCTCATTAAAGGAGATGAGGCTCATTAATTACTCTCGCCTAGAGAAACACATTTCACCTTTCCGCATTAATTACTTCTTAAACAAGTACTAACTTGATCGTTGGAGGCGGAACTCCAATCACTCGGAGTCTCCGTTTGTTTTGCAGGTACAGGCGCCCGGTTCCAGTCTCGGAATTGTAACTCTCCCGCAGGACAACAAAAAACCCCAAAACACGACTGATCTAGAATCCTGCAGACAGAGACTTCAGGATCCTGCAAACCTATGACTTCAACAAAAAACAACTCAAGCTTTTGATCCATCGTGCATTCGGCAATGAAGTTGCAGTGGGACGTGTACTTTTGAATAATCTTTTAGTCGTGTCCTAGACATTTCACAAGCTTATATTCGGAATCCTGCAAGATTTAGAATTCATCCAAATTCAGAGGACAAGCATACAAACATATTGAAAAATAAGACAGGAAGTAAAATAAAGAAAAAGAAGACTAATGGTGGCAGAAAGACCTTTGTGATGCTATTGTAGTGTTCCAAAGCAGTTTTAGCAAGAAAAAAATCCTTCTCATGAAGCAAATCCTCCTCACGCCCTTCTATAGATTGTAACTCCTTTGCCTTCATGCCGTACTCAGTTATATAGTCAACATTTTTGAGTTTCTTTCTACCAATGCAAGAACGATGCATAAGAACTATAGCAGAATCTTTGAATACAATTCCTATAATGTAAAATTTCTGTAATATCAAGCACAACTCTAGGAAGGTAATCGTAGCTTGTCGCAAGTAAACAATAAGAAAAGCAGGTAATATGTGTAAGATTAAGCCTGATTTGCAGCTACTTGCTGTATTCAGATTGTTTGACTAACTAAGGCTCAGCTTCCCCTTGCTAATTGTTATTTCTATTGCTACTAACCCTGCCACAACACTTTAAGCCAACAACCAAGCTAGGCGCCTCAAGCCCACCAATTCTCTACATCCCGAAAACTCCAAAACATGTTATTTGTTTGACACCTGATCTCTCCCTACCATCCTGCCAACCCTTGCAGCATCACTGATCCGGTGACACAAACCGACACTGTAACACAGTTACAGCCAATCCAAACCAACTCACCACACCAAATGTGAACGCGTACTAGCAAAGCCAGCGGCAACTACAAAAGTACCAAGCGGCCGACCAGAAAGTTTAGGTGGATTGACACAGTTAGTAGACTCAACACAAAGTAGAAATAAACAAACCAACTGCATCACCTATCGGCAACGAATCAAACAAAATAACCAACACGTACCACTGCCTCTACTCTAGCGCACTTAGAGAATACAATATACAACACTTAGAAGAAATTTCCTAAAAGCTAAACAAGTTACTCTTTGTAACTATACCCCCTCAAAATTCAATTACAAATTATCCAATCTTTATTTCAACGTAGTACTCAACAATAACAAACAACAATAATAATCTGCTTAATTTAGTAAGCTGATAATCACAATCAATCAAGTACTCCGTATAATAAAAGTTAAAAAAAAATGCAACTACTTGTTGAATATACAAAACAATAAAATTATACTATTTCACCAATTTGATGAATAGATTTATGAATTCAAAAATAGAAAGAGAATTAGAAAAAATATTTACCCTGTCATCTCTGTGTAATAGCTCTGCTCTCCTTTCTCTCGCAATCTACGAGTCAAAAATCAATTGAGTATTACGATTAATTGTAACATATATAATATTCAGTTTAGTTCAATTCGATTCAATTCAACTGAATTCAATTCAATCGATGAGAGATGGAAACCCTAAAAAATAAAAAGAAAAAACTTACAAATATTTGTCCTTTTTCTTACGAAGAAGAAAAACACGAGGATCTCTGAAGTCATGTAAATTAGTCAAAAGTCGTAAATCCTTCAAAAAGGCTGGTTCGCAAGGTACTCCATAACCGAATTTTACTCCTCCATAATCGCTCTTCATCCTTCGTTCTTCTTCTTCCTTCGTCTTCCTCTTCGTCTTCGTCTTCCTTTTCATGTTCTCTTTCTTAGTACCTCCATAATCGATCGACCTTCGCTCTTCTTCTTCCTTCGTCTTCGTCTTCTCTCTCTTCTTTTCTCTAATAATATAGAAACCCTACATATATTATACCATAGATTTTAGGGAAATTTCATGAAATTCCACCAAGTACTTAAAAAATTCACCAAATGTCATCGTGTTTTTCAGAATTCATAAAATGCCACTAAGGCTTAGTGCAATATCACCAAATGCCATTTTCGTTAGTTGACCACACCACTTACCACGTGTCATCTTCTGATTGGTCCGTTTTTTTAAAAAAAAAATTTAAAAAAAAATTAATAAAATAAATTAAAAAATTAAAAATAAAAAAAACAGAAAACCCTTGAAACCACCCAAACCCCAGCCACCACCCCAGCAGCCACCAGCCCAGCCGTGCCGGCAGTCCCCGAACCCCAACCGCCGGGACCTGCATCGGCAGGCGTGCCGGCGGCTGTCGACCTTCCTCCCTTTTCCCTCCTCTTCCCCTGTCGCGACCGACCGGAACTTTAAACACTAAATCCAAAATCCTACCCCCTTCCTCCACCACCCCGAAACCTCCGGCGCCGAACTCCCCTTCACATCTTTCCAGTTCTTTGCCTCCTCTAACGTTAACGGAATGCCAAAAACCTTATTTTGGGTCAGGTAAAATAACCCGTAATTTCTCTCCGATGTCGGCCCGGGTTTCTTGTTCTCGTTAAACAGAACGAATAGGAACACCGTGAGCTCCGCCTAGGGTCTTAGGGGGTGACTTTGGGGGAACGCGGTTCCGGTGGTTTCGCAGGCTGAATTCCGTCGTGGGTGGAGTGACTTTGGGTGAACGCGATCCGTCGGTTTTCGAGGCAAGAAACCGGCAATTTTCGAAGTTGAAATCCGGCAGTTTTAGGCGGAAGACTCCGACAGTTTTCGCGAGCTAAATTCTGGTGATGTCGCTGGCGAATTCCGGTGGTTTTGGGAGGTAAATCCGAAGCCCTCCCCTTTCGCCGGAAAATTAATCCGAAAAACAGGGTATATTGATGTAAATTTAGGGGTTTTGGGGAAAAATCTGAAGCCCTCCCCTCCCCTTCCTCAATCAATGGCGGCGCCGATAGCGGAGGAGGAGCAAGCGGCGAATCCGGCAGAGGAGAGAGAGAAGAGAGAGTGGGTGGTGGAAGGGGTGGTGGCTGGGGTTGGGTGGTTTCTGTTTTTTTTTTTTTTTTTTTAAAATTTTTTTTTGTTTTTTTTGTGAATTTTTTTTAATTTTGTTTAATTTTTTTTTAAAAAGGATCAATCAGAAGGTGACACGTGGCAAGTGGTGGGGTCAACTAACGGACACTGACGGTCGACTAACGGAAATGGCGTTTGGTGATATTGTACTAAACCTCAGTGGCATTTGGTGAATTCTGAAAAACGCGATGGCATTTGGTGAATTTTTTAAGTATTCAGTGACATTTCATGAAATTACCGTAGATTTTATTTTATTTTATTTTACTGAGTAAATTTTTACATATCCAAGAAGACAGTAATGTAGTATAGTACATTTATTTTGACCCACTTTTCCGGGTCGATTTCCGGACAACAAACAGGTCGGGTTTATTCTTGCAAGGCCTACTTTCTGTGGTACAAACTTTACGTTGGAAGAACTTCAAACACCTAACGTTGACACGGATCGAACCTCGTATCTTTACAATATGAGGTGTCGCTTGAACCCACCGTTTTAAGGGTCAGACTCCCACCATAACAACTTTACTTAGAACCCCAAGGGTGATTCGTAAAAATTATTACTTGTATTCGAAGTTCATTCCCCTTTGTTTTGTTTTGTTGTGTTCAGTTCTATAATGTTTTGTGCATTGTTCTTTATTCCATATTTTGATATGATTATACTCCCTCCGTCCCCTAAAGAACGATCCTTTTGAGTTGATATCGCGGGTATTAAGAAACTTAAATTGAAAATATAAGAGTGTATGGGGAAGCTATTAAAAGTAAATTGAAAAGGGAAATTTACATGGGATTTGCAAAAAAGTAGAGAGAGAAAGTAATAAAACTACATAGAAAAAGCATAATTTTCATGGAGAAGCTAATTTTTCACAAATATTATTGCAAATTGGAGGGTATTTAAATGCAAATGGGATGAACATTTTGGGACTAAAATTAAGCCAAAAGGGTCGAACTTTTGGGGACGAAGGGAGTACTATTTTTTTTCGTATTAGAGGTCTACAACCATCCTTTACCTTTATTCACTTTCCCCATACTTTTCCCACTCTTACCTATTCTCTATCAAATTTATTTTGGCTTTTTGACCCCACTCGTATAATAATTACATAATTTTTAGTTTTTTTCCTAAACAATACATGCACAAATTATTATCGAACGGAAGGAGTATTACTTGCTTCATAATTTATGGACATAAAA